GATGATTGTATTGGTTTTTATTGTGGCGATTGGTTTCCCATAACCGGGTTTATTGTATTTCAATATCTATTTGTTTTGGCCAATAATTATACATTGTTTCTAACAATGTTTGGCTAATAATAATAATAATAATAATAATAATAGTAATTTATTTTTCATTGAAAAATCATTATTTATTTATTTATTTATTATCTCATAATATAATATATTATAATATAATTTTTTAAAAACATTTTATCTGATATTTTAATATTTATTATCTAATTATAACTAAATTAATGTATATTTATTTTGTTATGAACATAAATTTAATTATAATAATTTAAACAATAATCTATCAAAATAATATTGATTACTAAATGATTTTTTTTATTTAAAATATCAAGAGTATACATAAAAATAATTAAATTATAATGTTATAATACATGTATGTTTTTTATTTTTACAATATTAATAGAAATTTTTGACATTTAATAATAAAATTTGTTATATTAATAATAAATAAATAAATATATATATATAATATTGATTGTAATTTATATGGTTTTTTTTAATTTATAAATATATAACACTAAATATTTTAATGCATTATAAACTAATTTTATTTTATAATGTTATTAATGTTTTAGTTTACAAATACCATATAAATTAAAATCAATATTATATTAATAGTAATATTGATAATCAATGATTACTATATTGTATGATAAATATTTTTTTTTCAACAAATAAAATTCATAATAAATAAAATACAATAAATTAATAAATTAAGATTTAATTGCTATTATTAGGAAAATAAATTAATAGAGGATAATATTTTAGTAATAAATTTTTTTGATTGTTATTTTTTTTAATTATTAAAAATATTAGTTTAACTATAATTTTTTAATAATTGATAAGTTATTTTGTAAATACAATATCAATATTATTTTTTTTAAATAATAATATTAATAATAAATTTAAATAACTATAAATTTATTAGTAGATTTTTATTAATAAATAATGATATTAATAAACTTTATTTTAGCCTAACATTGTTAGAAACAATGTATAATTATTGGCCAAAACAAATAGATATTGAAATACAATGAATCCGGTTATGGGAAACCAATCGCCACAATAAAAACCAATACAATCATCGGATAGACGTTCAATAAATTTTGTAATTTTCAATCTGTCAACAATCGACAAACTAGTATCCAATTTAATTAATTGTATATACAATTAATTTCCTAGGTTTATGTGCTAGGATGATTTAGCCAACAAAATAACCCAGCTACCAATAGACCCAATAATGATTGACAAATAACCAGTTCATAAATAAATAGTCTATATACTAAATCAAGATTACGATTGTTAGCAATATAAATGCAAAATATTATCAATGTATACCATAGATAATATATACTAAGTAATAGTGTTGAATAATATGAGCTAGTATATAGTATTAATTTACTAACATACAGGTGCTCATCAATGTATGCAATTAACTTATTAGTAATAATATTATTATTATTAGAAATTTTACCATGATGAAATTTTATCAATAGTTTAATAAATTTTTGGCTAACCTCCCAAATTTTCAACAATACATAGCCAATCGATACAATTGATATTAACATATAGTAGTATAATAGGGCAAAAAACTGGTGCATACCTATTATGAATACTAGGGTCAATATAATTGTTGGCCATAATAATAGCATAGTTGATTGTTGGCCATTATTATTATTATTGGTAAATGACCATGGTATTAAATTAGTTAAAACAATTGATATCATCATATAGATTATAATAAAATAATAATAATTAAATATTGTTAGTGGTATACATAGATTCAATATGAATAACCAATATTTATTATAGGTATACTTGATAGGATATTTTAGATACCGGTGCTGAGGATATTTCATTGAAAACATATACGACCAAAATCTATGGGATAGCCTAGTATTGGTGGTAGTGGTAGTAGTAGTAGTAGTCAAGCACTGGTAGTCCTTAATTAACAAATTATTGGCTAAAAATAACCAAAACATAATCACAATTGCAATTACTAGTCCAATAAATTTCCTATTTAAATTATCATGAACATAGTAACCAATAAAATCGCCTACCAGCGCCAGCACCCGGCCATCATCTGTTAGACTGATTACCATAAATCTGAATGCATTCAACAATAGTACGAATTTGATTAGCAATACCCTAACCATACGTTTACGACTATCCAATGGTCTCCGTCTATAGTATAGGTCATCGTATGTATTGTAAACAGATAACCAATTTTGACGATTAAATTGTTCAATCATTTCATGTAATTGTGTATAGGTTTTAGTCAATACATTATCATTCAAATACTGTATTAAACGTAAACTTAATGTTAGAAATATTAGTAAATAGTAAATAAAATTTCTAAATATATTTGCCATTAGTTTTGAATAGTTAGTAGAGATTTAATTTTTTTTTAAAAAATAAATTTAATAACAAAATAATTAAAGTAAATAAACTAAATAATTATTTGACTTATTGTACAATACATAATGTTAATGTATTAAACGTAAACTTAATGTTATAAATATTAGTAAATAGTTGACAAAATTTCTAATTATATTTGCCATAATTTTTTTGATATATTTAATAATATTATTATTATTTAAAATTATACAATTATTTATTAAAATATTTTAACTGTTTAAGTATTTTTGGTTTTTTTTGATTAATTAATTGATTTAATTAAATTATTATTAAATTAAAATATAGTTTCAAATTTATTTATTTATATCTATTAATACTATCAACTAATGTAAACAAAATTTATTACTATAGATATTAATATAGTATTAGTAAGTGATTAACAAAAAAAAATAAATATATTAATAATTAGTATATTTTATTTTAGATTTGAATTAGACAATAATAACAATTAAATCTTAATTAATTTATTTATAATATTTTTTTTATATGTTTTGTGAGAAAATAATAATATTTAACATACAATGGAATAGTTTGCTAATCAATATTCCTATTATATATTATTATACATATAATATATTTCTATCAAATAAAACATATTAATCTCTAATACAGTAATAATTTTTAATTATAATGCAAATAATTAATGTTAAATAAACATTAATAAAAAAAATCATTATATATAAAAATCTGCCAATAAATTGATTTTAATTATGTATTATTCAAAAAAAAATTATATTTTTGTTTAACATTATTACTTATTATTATTATTAATTATAGTTATTAGTTATTATTTTTTTCAAGTCATAACTAATAAATCATTTAATTTTACACAAAAATTTTAATTAAAAGTAACTTTATTTGTATATATTTAATATAAAAAAAATATTTAAAAAATTATTTATACAAAAAATTATTAACAATCAATTAACTAAAGTTTTTATTGAGTAAAATATTGTTAACATTTTAATTAATATTTGTTTATTAATCAAAATTATTTAAGATATAATTTAATAAATAACTAAATTTGTTATTTGTTATTGATTTTTATTAACTATTTGTTGTAAAAAGTATAAATAAATTTAATAAAATTAAAAAAATATATATTTATATTAATTACTAGAATTATTTTTCTTTATTATGTTAAAAATCTTTTTATTATAATATTTAAATTTAATAAACAAAAATTTTTAATTATCTTAAATTACAGTAATTTTTTTGTTAAAACATTTTAGATTAACATTTTTTAATTTAGTTATAATAATAATAATAAATAATTATTAAAAAAAATAGTATTAAAAAAATTTATACAGATATTAGTATATACAATATATTGCTATTTAGGACAGTTAGCCACGAGGACAGTCCGGCCAACCACAGTCAGTGCATGGTATGGGCTTATTAAAACAACAATTGGTCCAACAATAGCTATAATAATAATAACTAGTAAATAGATGCTAGAAAATTGCAACTTGCTCATTTTTGTTGTTGCTGTTAAAAACTATTAACCAATTTATAAATATAATTAAAAAAAAATATTAATAAATTTAAATGCTATTAGTTTTTAGTTTTAATTGAATTGAATCACTTTTAAATACATACTGTACTTATATAGTAAATATTTTTTATTTTTTCATAAATTTTAATTGTAGCAAGTCACTTTATTTATTTTTATTGCAATAATTTATATGTATAATAATTAGGGGAAAATAATTGTATTTATTACCAATAATTTAATTAAATGTTAATTTTTTTATATAATAATAATTATTATTATGAAATTTTTTTCAGAAAAATAAATCATAAATTTTACAATACTTTGAAAAATTACAGTAATTTTTTTTTGAAATATATATAAAAAATAATGTAATTTTTAAAAGCAATGATTTTTGTTTTAACAATAACATATAATTTATTTTGTCAATAAAAACTAAATAATAAATGATTTTATAAAAAAAATTAGTGAATTAATTGCAATCTATAACTATTCAGTTATAATTATTGTTATATTTGATATAATTATTTACTAAAAATTAAAAAATAAAATAAAATTTACTTAATTAATAATAAATAATTAATAAAAACATTAAATTCTAATGTTAATATAAGATATTAACTTTTTTATTTAATCAATTAGTTTAAAATTATTAGTGTACTTATTATTTATAATTAAAAAAACATAAATTTTAGGTTCATTTGTACTAATTTTTTACAATTAATAATTAATTTATTGATAATAACAATTTTATTTGATAACTATTAATTGATATAAAATAAAATAAATAATATTATTATTTTTTTAGTTATCTATTAATAATTAAAAACTAAACTAAATTGAATTTATCTAACAAGTACATTTAACATTATCATCCGGGTAACTAAATAATAAAATACTTATAAATAAATATATAAAAAGCAAATTATAGTTTTAACAAAAAAAATATTATTTTTATTTAGTTTTTATTTCACATTTATATTATTTTTTAAAAAAAACTAATGTGTATTTATTATTAAATTAATAAAAAATAATAATGCATTTAATAATAACTAAATTAACATTGATACTTTATGTATTAGCAACATTATTATTATGTAATTAATTAATTAATTAAAATATTTTACTATAACATTAACAATAATATCAATAATTGTTTATAAATTAAAATATTTATTTTTTTTAATTTAATAATTATATTATAATTTAATTTATTTTCTTCAATATATTCTAAGCACCGATACTATCGCGCAATCCCTGTGCCGGACGACCGGGTGAAACAACTGTCTACTGTGTATGCAATCAGACCTACTGCGACAATGTTGAGCCTATTGTACGGCCAGTAGCCGAAGCTGCCGGCACTGCCCTAATCTACCGGAGCTCACAGTCGGGTCAACGTTTGGACAAAAGTCTATTGAATTTTACGGACAAACCCCATGGCCAGAGTCCCGCAATAATAACTATAGACTCGGATAAACGGTATCAAACTGTTTTGGGTATAGGTGCTGCATTTACCGATGCGGCCACTATTAACATACAGAGTCTACCGAAACCGATGGCCAGTCGATTGGTTAGCGATTATTTTGATCCAGAAACGGGTATTGGATTTTCAATGGGACGCATACCTATAGCTGGTTGTGATTTCTCGACACATGAGTATACCTACGATGATATCGCTGATGACTATGAGCTCCGGGAGTTTGCATTGACTAAAGAGGATTTTGATGATAAGGTTAGTAGTAGTAGTAGTAGTAGTAGTAGTAGTAGTAGTAGTAGTAGTAGTAGTAGTAGTGGTGGTAGTAGTAGTAGTATAGTATAGTATAGTATAGTATATGTATATATATATATACAGTATAACATGGATACGATTGATTTTTTTGGTTACAAAATTATTTAGCTATATATCTTATATATTAGTATCTATCGCACTGGTAGTCTATTATAATATACTGTATCTCATATGAGAATTATATATATAAACTACCGGTGCGCTGATGATATACCCGTATAGTAGTAGTAATAGTAGTAGTAGTAGTAATAATAATAGTGTATAAACTTATATACAAGTTTTTATTGAAGCTTTCATGAATAACATAACAGTGTATAATATACACTGTATATGTATTTATGTATTATATGTATGTATTGTATATGTATGTGTATCTATGTATGTGTAACTAAGTATGTGTATGTATATGTGTGTGTGTGTATGTATGTGTATGTATGATTATGCATGTTTGTTTGTATGCATATGTATATGTCAGAGTCTACATGTGGATGTCTAACATTTTTTTTAAAAAAATTTTCTAACATTTTCAAATATTATTAGATACCTATTATCAAATTGGCGCAAACATTGAGCGGCCATAGACTAAAATTATTTGCCAGTCCATGGAATACACCGCACTGGTTGAACGATAAGAAAAAAATTGCCCAAGACCCGGCTAAACATTATGGTACCTGGGCAAATTATTTTATCAAGTAAGCAAGCTAACTAATAATAATATAATCTAAGTAATATTATTATAATTAATTTTATCTAGGTAATATTATTATAATAATTTTATCTATGTAATATTATAATAATAATTTTATCTAGGTAATATTATTATAATAATTTTATCTAGGTAATATTAATCTAAATAATCTTATCTAGTTAATATTAATCTAAATAATCTTATCTAGGTAATATTATAATAATTAATTTTATAATTTATAATATTATTAAGATTCCTGGATGCCTACAAATCCTATGGTATTAATCTATGGGGTTTGACCATACAAAACGAGCCCATGTCGTTTAGTTCAATGAATTTCCTCAACGCTAGCATTGAACGTGATTTCCTGAAAAACTACCTGGGTCCAGCACTAGCCCTATCTGGTTATACACCAGATAAACTACATGTACTAGTCTATGATGACGGTTCCGATAGAAATCCAATTGTCGACTATGTAGATACGTGTTTAAGTGATAAGCAAGCAGCCCAGTATGTTTCAGGTATAGCCTATCATTGTTATTTGGGTTCAAAATGGCAAAAGATACCGGTGCTCAAGGAACGGTATCCAGGTATGATGTTCCTGATGTCCGAGTGTTGTCAAAATTTCCGATTAGACCAGAAACCTGAACCTAAACCGTCAAAATTGGGCAAATGGGAACAGGGTGCCGATTATGCCGAACAAATTGTCAGGGTAAGTTTTTTATTTTTAATTTATATATATAAATTACTAATAAAAAACTAATAGTATAATAGTATTTTATTTTTACTATTTTTTAAAAATTTTAATTATCATTAAATTATTACTTTTCTATAATTTTTACTATTTTTATATATTTATTTACTATTTTTTATATATTTACTATTTTTTAAAAATATATTTACTATTTTTAAAATATATTTACTATTTTTTTTATAATATATTTACTATTTTTTATAATTTCTAGTATTCTTTAAAATTTTTTTTATTGTTTTCATATATTTTAATTACTTCTATATATTTTTTTTATTATTTTTATAATTTTAACTATTTTTTTAAAACATTTATTTTTTAACACAATATTAGACATTCAATCAGGACGTAAACGGTTGGGTCGAGTGGAACCTAGCCCTGGATACCTATGGACACCCGAATAAGGATCATAAGGCCGGGGATGCACCGGTGCTTATCAATGCATCAAATGGGGAATACTATAAAAATCCTAATTTCTATGTACTAGGTCATTTTAGTAAATTTATTGAACCCCAATCGGTTAGAATAGATGCCCAGTTAACCAAACCGCTCGGATCGGTTGGTTGGGTAGCATTCAGGCGACCGGACGGGTCGACTACACTAGTTGTCTATAATAATGGTAATCAATCGCATGATTTGGCTATCTATGACCATCGGCTGGGATACCTGAGCGCTACATTAGATGAACATAGTATACAAAGTTATGTTTATTGGCATTAATTTTTTGGGACATATTATTATTATTTATTTTTGTTGTTTTAAGTTAAAATTTGTTTTATAATATAATATTTTTTTTTGTTTCAACAAATCTTAAGTTATAATAATTATTTATATATGCAATTAAATAATTATAATAGAAATTATTTCTAATCTATTATCATATAATAATAATAATATTTTTTTAAAAATTACTAAAATTATATATAGTAATTAGTTGCATATTTATTAACAAATTATAATTAATATTCAATTATAATTAATAACTATTAAATAATTATTAGTAATAATTGAATATTAATTTTATTTTAGTATGCAATATAATCATTTTTTTTAATTATTAGTAATTTTTTTATTATTTTTTTTAATGATTTTATATTAATATAAATTTTATTTTCTATACAAGTTAATAGTTTTTAATATTTAATTAAAACAAATACATAAATAATAAACACTAAATATTATTATTATTTATCAAATTTATAATTTTCAATTAATTATGATATATTTATAAAAATAAGAAACAATTTTTTTAATCATAACAATTTATTAAATAATAAAATAGAAAATTGTTACAATATTTAAAAAAAAAATAAAATCATTGTAAAATATAATATATATCTAAAAAATATAATTAATTTTATAAATGTTTACAAATAATTAGTTTAACTATTGATGTAAAATAATTGAATATACAATACTAATTATTTTTGTATAAATTAAGCTAGATAAATATATATATATATATAAATTATTTTCTATCATGATAATTTATTTTGTTGAGATCAAATTTTTCACATATAAATGGGCAAAATTAATAGCGTATAGGCTAACATAGATTTTACCATGGGCATGTAACTTTTTCAATAGTCTATGTCTATCATTGCAGCTTATGTATCTTTCACGTATGATGTCCACTGAGTCAACTATTTAGTAAAAAAAATAAATTAAAAAAAACAGTTAAAATTTTTTTTATTTTTAAAAAATTAAAGTTAAAAATATATTCTATTAGATTAAAAAAAATACTAACCATTATTATCCAGTGACTGTAGAGTTGTTTGATTGGCTAGATTTTCAGCAGCAACAACAACAGTGTCGACCTCTACCCGATCATCAGTGACGTCACGACTACCGAAAGTTACCGAAACTTTATTGTAATTTACTTTTTCATCTGTGTTTAGATTAATAAATGGCTGATAAATTGATGATGATGATGATGATGATAATAATGCTGAATATTTATTAGCCAGATCATTTTCAATGGTTAATGCTGTAACAGTTGTCATGGATTTGTAAAGGTCTACAAAAAAAATTACATAATATAAGTTAAAATAAATATATTTCACATATTTTTTAAATTTTTTAAATAAATTTTAAGTTATATAATATATATTTACTTTTGATTTCAGTGATGAACAACATTGTTATATATAATGTAATAGTGTTTTGATAGTTTTATAATTTATATATATATATATATATATATATATATATGTTAATTAAATTACTAAATAATAAATTAGTTACAAAAAATATAATTAATTATAAATATAAAAAAATTAATATTATTATTAAAAAATTAATTAATTAATAAATAATTGAATGAATTAATGATTTTATAAATTAAGTTTAATAAACTTTTTCTTATATACTAAAAAATTCATTATTTTTTATTATATATTTTAGATATATTACCCTATTTTTTATGTTTTGTTTAGTTAGTATTGCATTTAATTTAAGCAATTTGTGTTATATATATTATATCTCTATAATGTTTTGATTTTTTTACATACACGTGAATTTTAATCATCAAATAATTGTTATTATTATTATTATTATTTCAATTTATTATTAATAAATTGAAAGTGAAATCTAAGTGAAAAAGTTAGGCACACAATGTGTTTAGGATTAAAGTACAATAAAAAAAATCAAAATAATAATAATAAAAATCAAAATTATTTCATTAATAAGTGTAATATATTTTAGTGTAATATATTTTAGTGTAATATATAATAATTATAAATAAATAGATAATCTTGATAAAATTATTTATATATATATATATTATATATATAAGTATATAAATAGTGCAAAAACATTGTATGCAATAATATTTTTTATTTAATGATTAAATGACCCATTTTTATACAGTATATTTATATTGTACGTACAATAATATAATATTTATAAATACATTTATAATAACTATTTATATATATATATATATATACAGTATATATTGTATAACCTTGTAATGTGCTTTTTATCTCAATTAAGTATATAAACTGATTATTATTTATTATTATTATTATTATTATTAGTATTTATTTGTTTATTTTTATTTCATCTATATATATCGTTATGCAATTTTTTGAAATATTATTTTTTTTAATAAGAAATCAATAAAAATTTGTAGAAATAAATAAATAAAACTAAAAATAAATAATAATAATTAATTAATTAATTGTAATACAAACCGGAAAAATGCAATAAATTCTACTTAAAATTAATTAATTAATTTCCGCCATGTACAGTTATTACCTGTTAATTTTTATTTTAATAGATATTAATTATTATTAAAAATAAACTTTTTAACCTAATTAATAAATATGAACTAATATTAATTTTTTTATTAACAAATTAAGTATAGATGATGTCAAAAGTATAATTTAATAAATATATTTTTTAAAACAATTTATTTTTATAGTTAATCATGTATCATAATATTTTTATTTTTTATTAAATATATATATTATTTGTATTTGCATTTAAAAAAAATTGTATTATAGTTTACTCAAAGATTAATATATATAATATAATTATTGTATTTTAAAAAATAATTGTTGACTTATTTAAACAAATAAAACAATTAATTGAAACAAATATTACAATAAAACACATAAACAAAAAAAACAAATACTAATAATACATAACATAAATATATATTTTTTAAACCATAAAACAATTATTGAATTATATATAGTATCGGAATCATACAAAAAACAAATAAAAATAATAACAAATTAAATATAAAATCATATATAGATTTAAATTTAAAAATTAAATCCAATATCTAGAATAACTAGAGCACACCATAAACCAAAAAAAAAATATACATATTTTTTTAAAAATATACATATTTTTTTAAAAATATACATATTTTTTTTAAAATAAAAAAATATATATTAATAATAATTATTATTTTTAACAAAAAAAAATAAACTACTCGTCACTGCCACTACTGGCGCCTCCCTGTCTATTATAACCGCCTGAACCGGCGCCACCGCCAGCGCCGCCTCCCATGTTACCATAGTTACCGTAACCTTGTTGTTGTTGTTGTGGTTGTTGACCGTACTGACCCATACCGTATCTACCGGCGCCTGCGCCGTTACCATAGCCATAACCATTTTGACCGTAACCATTGCCATAACCGTACGGATTATTGTAACCATTACCGTAACCGTACATACCTATAGTATTAGTAGTAGGATAGTAGTTACGGTATAAACTATTCAATTGATAGGGATTATATCTATAGATTGAACTATAATATGGCGTATAATATGAATAGGGACTATAATAATAATAGTAGCCGCCACTATTAGTTGTCGGACTGTAGTATAGACCTCTATTGGTGTTTAAATTGCCGTAGCGTGCGTAATAGTTTTGCAAACCGTAACGACCTCTACCATACATTGTATTTTGGCCATACGTGTTAGCGTATTGACTCTGAACATTGTTAGTGTCTTTAAGTTTAAAATAATTAGTGATAGAAAAAAAATTAATAAAAATAATAATTATATAATTAATTTTTTAAATATTTTAAATTAATATTTTAAATATTTTAAATTAATATTTTAAATATTTTAAATTAATATTTTAAATATTTTAAATTAATATTTTAAATATTTTAAATTAATATTTTAAATATTTTAAATTAATATTTTAAATATTTTAAATTAATATTTTAAATATTTTAATTAATTTTTTTTAATATTTTAATTATTTTTTTTTAATATTTTAATTAATTTTTAAATATAATTTATATAAAAAACAAACAAACTTAGTATTAATAGTACAAATAATGTTACAGAAACTATTGTCAATGATGATATTGACAATGATCTTGGTAATAATAATAATAATAAATTCATAACTATTTTTTTATGAAAACACTTTAAAAAATTAAAACTTTATAATAAATTTTAAAAATTAATAATATTATTAACCAATTTCGAGTATCATATTTTTTTAATAATTAAAGTATATTTTACATTAACTACTATTTTTTTAATAAATAATATTATTTAAAAAACTACTACAATATTATATATATTTATAAATTAATCATTATCAAGGTTTCTAGATAATTATATTTATATATAAATACAAAAAATTAAAAAAATAATAATTTGAATATAATATTTTTTATTATTATTATAAATTTGATATTCAATAATAATAATAATTACTGCATACAAATCAATTGTGTATAAAAAAATTAATAAATAAATAAATTGTTGAACAAATAATAAATATTGATTTCATATGTTTTTTTTGTCAATTATTTTTTTAAAACTATTGCTTAAATCTATTGATAAACATATTTATTTAACAATTATATTTTATAATACTGAAACCTAATAATAATAATAATAATAATAATACATATAATAAATTTAATTTAAATGCAAAATATAATAATAGTATATTTAAAGCAATAATATATATATATATATATCAATAAAATTTATTGATGCATAAATCTGTCTAAATATTTGCACAAAACTTTACTGAAAATGTTACTGAAAATAATTAATTATCAAACATGTAATACATTAATAGTAAATAATTCATTATATTTTTATGTGTATTAACAACAAAATAGTGTCAATCAAAAATATATAAATAAATGTTTAAAAATAAAAATTTATACCATTATCATTGTATAAATATTTATACAATATTAAAAATAATTTTTTAAGCTATATCCTTTTACAAAATAAATAAAAATTAGTCAGATAATTTTTTATATATAACAATTAATTAACATGTTTATTATAATATAGTTAAAAAAATTAATTAATTAATTAATTAATTAAATACATGATAAAAGAATATATATAAATATTATTATTATTTCATTAATTAATTAATTATTAGTTAGCAAAAAAAATTATAATAATAATTATTTTTAAAAAAATCAAATTAATTTTTATATGACAACAACAATAAAAAATAAAATAAAAATAATTATTAATCAAAAATAAATCAAGTATTAAACAAAACAAAAAATAATTAGATTTTTAACTTTCTTAAAATAGATAGACATATATATATATATATATATATATTGATATATATAGAGCACCGGTAGCTCTACTGACTACTCTGACGGGACAGTTGTCCACCACTACTACCACCACTACCGACACTACCTAACAATGTTGTATTAGTCGTCTGTCTAATCAATTCATAATTGTTTTGTGTGTTAGTCAGTGGCGTTGTCGACGATGTCGTCGATTTGCCGGAAAATTTCCGAAACTTTTGCCACAAACTACCCGTTAGTGTCAATACGCGGCGCAACTCTCGCCTATAGTTAGGGTTTAGTCCGAAATAGATGAACGGATTCCAGCAGACAGAGCTCATTGCCAGCCAATGACAGCACAGGAAGGTTGTCATACCTAACGGTGCCGACGATAGCGATGATGATGTGGTTGTTGTCGCCAATGTATCCAATGTTACAAAATCGTTGACAATATGATAGATATTCAACGGTAGCCAACATAAGGCAAATACTATACATACGGTTAACATCATTGTTATTGTCTTGCGTTTGGTTAGCAAACGGGCCGATACTTGTCTGGCCGTCATTTCGCCGATATTTATCTGATTTTTAAAAAATAAAAAAAAACAATTTAATAAAAAAAATTTATTACAAAAAAATTAATAAATAACGTAATTATAGATAAATAATGTAATTATAAATAAATAACGTGATTATAAATAACGTAATTATAAATAACTTATGTAATTATAGATAAATAACGTAATTATAAATAAATAACGTAATTATAATTAAATATCTTAATTATAAATAAATAACGTAATTATAGATAAATAACGTAACTGTAAATAAATAATGTAATTATTAATAAATAACGTAATTATAATTAAATAACGTAATTATAAATAAATAACGTAAATATAAGTATAAATTTATATAACAATATAATTATTTAAAAAAAATATATATATATATACAAACTTTTGAAAATATTTTCGTCGATATAGTCAAATAGATTACTAATGTAACAATTAATGGCAGAAAATATTGTGTCAAAAATGTAAAAACAGTTATCACTTGACGATAAAGTTGTTCGCTATGTTGGGGATAGACTGTACGGCACCGGTATATCGTATCGAAAGCGGCCATCAATTGTACGGTTTTATTCCATAGGGCATGAGGTATGGCTAACCCACCGGCCATTAGCCAAATGATGGCAATTATTACCGATTTCGATAGCCGTGTACTGAGTCGTTGTTTTAAGGGATAGACCAGTGCCTGATACCTGTCCACTGCTATAAATACCATTGTTATGGTCGATACGTAAACAGTTGTTACCTATTTTATTTTTTTTAATTAAAATATAACTAAATTTTACTAAAAAATATTTACGAATAAATTATTTCTAAATAAAATAACTTTTTTTTTGTTATATTAATTATTTGTTAAACTATTTTTCATTTATTAAATTGTGAATTAATAATACAGTATTTTTTAAAAATTAATAAATAATATTTTTTTTTTAAATTAATAAATAATATTTTATTATGTTTTTTTATTATTATAAATTTTAGTTTTTAATTATCATTGTTAGTATATATATTATATATATTAGTATATATTAATTATTATTATTATTATTATATTAGCAATACTAATACTACACTACTATAATACAATACTAACTAATAACAAATAATAATAATAATAATAATTATTATTATTATTATTATTATTATTGTATCAACAATTAACACACACACTCAGTCAAACACACACACACAACACACACACACATACACACACACACACATACACACACATACATACACACACATACACACACACATACACACATATACACACACATACACACACATACACACACACACACATACACACATATACACACACACATATACACACACACACACACACACACTCACACACACACAAACACACACATACACACACATACACACACATACTAAATCCTAACCTGTACAAACGGTACGGCCAGACACATAGCCTGGCCAAATGGCCAGTTATCCATTGTCAGCCGGATAACAGTTACAGGCATTGTAAAAACGGTCATCAATAGGTCGCTAGCGGTTAGATTCATAATCAATACATTGATCGTACGATTAGCTGTAGTAGTAGTCAACCTACCGGTGCCACCACCACCAACACCACAACCAACACCACAACCAACACCACAACCACGCCATCTGATAAATAGTTTACATACTAATAGATTACCCAATAAACTTAATATAATTATCAGTGTATAAGCTAGTACAATTAGCAAATTTTTCATGTATTTCCGATTACGTAATTCCGGGTAATTGTTGTCGACAATTATCGATTGATTGGCTAGTATTGAATAAAATAATTGTCGTAAACTGTCCTCATCATCATCAACATTATCATCATCGGTAATGTTCAATAATGGAAAATAAGTTTTACTGGCAATGCTAGTTATATTATTATTATTATTATTATTATTTAATCTAGTTAGCCAATGTTGAAATAATATATTAGCAGTATTAGCATGCATAATTTTTGTTGTTGTTGTTGTTGTTGTTGTTAAAACAATAAAACGAGTTATTAATTATATATATTTTTAAAAAAAATTTATTATTTTAGTATTTAATTTAGTTAATTAAATTCACTTTTTTTGAAATAATAATTAAATAAATAATAAATATTTATTAATTATTATTAGTAATTAATAATTAATCATTTTTTTTGAATAGTGTAAACTGTACATACTGTTGAAGATTTAATAACTAATAACTTTAATAATAATATTTATTATAAAATATTTATTATATTTTGTATATTAATGTATTGTTTTTTTTACATTATTATTACAAAATATTACATTTTTAAAATTATTTTCTTTACTTACAACTATAGTATAGTAAGACACATATAATAGAAACTAATAAAATATTTTATAACTAAAATATATATATATAATAAATATCTATTTAATTTTTTGTGTTTTGTAATTACAATTACTAATAAATTTTAATAATAATGCAAATTCATTGTAGGAAAAACTCAATATTATTTTTTTGATAAACTAAAAAATACATATATATATATTAATTAATAAAATAATTTTAATGATACAGGTAATTTATTATTTTAGATATTATTTTAGAAATTAATTATAATATAAAATTATAGTAAATAAAACTACTGGAAAAAAACATATTTAAAAAACTAAAATATTAATTATTAATCAATAATCAATAAAAAATAATTATTTTATTAACATTAGTATAAATAAAATTGTTATGAAAATTAAATTTAGATTATTATATAAACTATTAGTATAAGTATACCAATAATATTACTAAAAAAAAATTTATTTTGAATATAATATAAGTTATTTTTGAATATAATATAACTTTTTTATATTAAGTGATAATAATAATTATAATTATAAATTTTCATAAGTCATAAAAAATTATTAACGGCTTATAAATTTTGCTGAAAAAAAATTAAAATTTTAAATTAAATTAATAATTTTTTTTTATATTTTCAAGTAATACAGTATTATTTATAATTGTTATAATATTTACACACTTTTATGATTTTTGATACGATTTTAATATGTTTTTCATTGCCTAAACATATACTGTATATATTTATATATAAATTTAAAAAAAAAAAATCTTTTAATAAAATATAATAATAATAACTACAGTATTATATAATAACACATTCATTGTATTGTTTATTATTAAATTAATGTTTATTACACACACACAAAATTTCAATAAAAATTTTATGATTTTTATAACTTTATATATGTTTTTTTTGTTTATTATTTATTTATAAAATAATAATAATAATAATAATAACTTAATTTACTGTTAAAAACATTATATATATATACGGTATATATATAAATACATAAAATAAAATAATAAAAAATAGATTTTTTGTTTTTCAGATATTTTATTATTATTATTATATTTATAACTATTATATATACAGTATATTATATAATACGTCAATAATATAATATAATATTAAACTATTTATTTTAATTGCCTTACTATTACAATAGGTTTTTATTATTAATATTACAAATTATATTTTGACACTCATTTATTATTAATACAGTATATATACAGTATATAACACTAATATACAGTAAATACAAATAATTATTTAAATAAAACATTTAGTTTTTTAAATTAATAGTTGAATTTTTTAAAAATAAAAATACTCGTTTAGTTTAAGTAAGTAAAATTAATATATACAATTTTATATACAGTATTTTTATA